TTATGTATTTCTCTAAAATTAAAATAATGAAGATGATAATATCCATGATTAACACTCTCCACAATAAAAATGGTTAATCAAGATCTCATAATTACAAAAAAATGAACAAAATGAAAAATTATGATTGGTTGAATGAGGTTTTCACGGTTTTTACAAATTGAGTGGTTTTTATTTGAACCCGGGTGCAAACACTTACGCAAATATAAATATTTGTTCAAATTGTGTTCATGGTTCTATGAACACCGGGTGCAAACACTTACACAAATATAAAGATTTGGTATCAAGCTTAAAAAATAACACTTGTGTTCATATGATAGATGTAACATGAACACAATGGTTCATGATTCATAAAAGTCGGTAATATGACAATATGAAAATGGGTCGTGCATGTACTTCCATTTGAACATGTGATTTAGGTACGTATTTTAGTAATAAAAAAAAAGTTATCAGTACAAGATAAATTATAAAAAACACAACACATCGTAATGAACATAATTTCGATTAAAACGAATCTAAAAAAAAATAAAAATCTATTACCAAGACATTCGCTTTGGTTAATTTCTTCAATTTCCGACCTCGAACTCCGATTGTCATCATAAACCATTTTAATCTTTTCACTGTTGTCGATTTATATTCCATTGCGTTTATCCATATTAGCTTGATTGATGCCAAAAAAAATTTACTGCCGTGTTTTCTATGCGAATTAAAAACTGATAAAACAATAAACATGGAAGATCAAGATTAAAAAAAATAAAAATATTAATATTATAAATGCATATTTTTTAGGATTTGATGATTTGTATCTCCCCATTAATTGTTTGGGAGTTACATATCAAATCAATTTACTGAAATACCCTTGTAATTAAAATGTGAACATGACATAAACCTACAAGAAGAATGTAATTTGATTGGTTGTCATGGTTTTCAAAGTTAACACAAAATTGTTGGTTAACATTTGATCTTCTCCCTATATATATATATAGGGCCAAGATCAAATGCTATATATATATATATATATATATATCCAATATGTTATTTATTTTTTATTTTGATTTATTTACTATTTGTCTGTTTGAATACCTTTAGTAAGATACAAAAATGCATACGAGTAATAATTTATATTGTACAAGGATTTGAAACTGTAAATTGATCTTATTATTTATTTAGTTAAAAAAAACAATGTGCAAGTAATAACAGGGAGGACCTATGCTAGATAGGTCTGTTCAACCAATTTTTACAAGTATAATTGAAAGATGTATATGTTACAACTTTGAAAGGTGCTCCGAGCTTTGAAAATACGAGTGATATCAAACAAAAAAATTCTCAAAATCAACTAAAAACATAAAAAAATTCTTGAAATCAACCAAAAACTGGAAAAAAAAATCCCTAAAACAGTGAAATTCAGCACACAGAAAACACATCAAGCTTACGACTAAGACAACGTCTTGCATCATGCTCAAAAGGTCGATTTCATTTGAAAACAATGTAATTTATTCCCGATATCAATATACTTAGAATTTCCTTGATCAAACGATTTTGGCTTTTTCACATGATGACACGGGAATTTACAGACATTTTATCCACCTTAAAAGGTGCACACATTTTTTTAAAGATTATGGGTCCCCTGCTAAATAATAATGGTCTTTAATCATTTGATGCATTTATAACACATGTTATTATTATCATTATTTAGATATAAACAATATTGCAAGGTTAATAATGCATAATCATGTAAAGCATTTACTGGGTTGGGTTCCAGTCAGAAGTAGAGTTAAATGAGGGTAAGAAAAGATTTCCAACATTAGATGCACATAAAGACAAGATGTATCAGATCAATCCACGTATCAAACGCGGTTAATAAAATTAAAATTATAATGAAAATAATAAAGACAAAAATCAACATCAAAAATCACATCCCTATCAAGAACTCTTGTTCACATGACTAATTTAACCTTTTTCGAGGTTGTGATTGCTAAGAACAAAAGTTGATGTAGAAAAAGAATTTTTGTCCATTTGTTTCCAACGCTCGGTAAAAAAATAGCGATCAAAGTTCGTTGTCATTTAGGTACTCTTTGGCAAACATAAATTAACTTATTTTTTTTATTTTTATTGAAAAATTCATGCTTGGATAGTCAAAAGCTAAATGAGAAGCAAGTGTAAAGTTTTAATAATTCATTAGTTTTTTTGCTATTTTTTTTTTCCAATTATGTTCATTAATTGTTATTAATTATTAATTAAAAATTATTAAGTAATATTAATTGTTAGTTATAAATTAATATTAACTATCAATTATTTTGAATTATGATCAA